TTATTCCGGCCACGTGTTTATCATTTACATTTTTTTTTGAACACATGCAAAATATGGGTCTACCTTCCGTTGGAGGCATCAGCCAACCTAAATCATAAATCATAAATCAAAAAACGGATGAAAAGCGAAAAAAACGCGCATCCGTTTAGGTCCCGTGTTGGAGTTGCTCTACTGGGATGCATGCACTGAACGATGACCTCCTGCCTGCCTTCCAAGGCTCCAACACTGTGCTTCGTACCGTACGCATGGTACATGCAACACACCAAATGAAATGAATATTTTGATGAGGTTCACACAAGTTTAAAGCGCGCAAGGCGGCACGCGCCGATCTATCTATTTACTCAAATCTCTCGCGAAAACAGTGGTTTCGATCCTACAACTAAATCCGGCCATGGACTGGATATCCACCGGGCCAACAGGGATTCATCAATCATACTTACGTACCAGCTTTTCAAGTCGCCTCACGCCTCACGGTAGGGTCAAGTCGACATGAATTGGCTCATTATTTACGCTGAAAATGACCTGGTGCTAGCAGTAGGAGTATCATGACCGCAAAAAGGTTTTGAGGGTGAGGGGCAGGGGAAAACGGAGAGGACACAGTACTTGTACCGGAAACAGATCCATCCATCACGTTGAGTACCATACGTACTTATTTATTCCATCAACTTTCTCTATTTCTCTTACACATCAAAATGATCTTCGTTTAAACCAGACCAATGTCATGACATTTTTGATGTATTCATCATACATAAGGAGACATTATATATTTTTTAACCTAGTCCAAATCTTCACCGACCTTGTAGCGTCTGTCATTCACGTCCTATTTTTTCCCACGTCCGGCGAGCTCAACGGAGTGAAGCTTGGGGGTCGCCGGGCCATATATGGGACACGAAAGGTACCCACTTCCCTGTCACATGTCGTACTCTTCCCCGCAAAAGGAGTTTTGATTGAGAACGCCTGCCGGATGCGTATGCGGCGGAGGTACGAACTCTCGCAAAGCCCTCCGGATTGCATGTGGTTTGCGGGAAAACGGACGCGGACAAGGTATATGTGTTGGATGAGAAAGTGTGTCAGTACTATTTGATCTAGACGTTTGCGGGTTATTTGAGGGTCCGGGTTGAAGATGCCCTAAGCAAAGCAAGGGCACATCATATGGGCTGGTCCCGTGCATTATTGGCTTGTTAAATCACAGATCCAAATATGATTAACCTCACGACACGAAGCAGAGCCCAAATGATCACTTGCATACATGTGAGCTGAAGGGCCATCCGTTACAGCAAACTAACACTGATCCGCCTCTTTATTTTCATTTTTCTTATCTTACAACAACAAACATGCCTTCGATCGCCTTTAATTGTGTGCCCACTGTTTGATCCAAGTGCGGCCGGCAGGAACAATATCGTAAAAATGGTCCAATTCAAACCACCATATGTGTGTGCCACCTCAAAGGCAACCTCCCTCGCTCTAATTTTATTTCACCAATTAAGTTTAACCTATACACTGCCCCGGCCACACGCATACACAAAAACCATTAAGGATAAATCTCTTTAAGCAGGCTTGCACTGTGCATGAGCAATCAGTAGGCGGACACCAGCATGTATCTTGCACATGGCACCCATGCAACGCAACAACTTCCTTTCAAATCCTCATCATTGGTCGGATCAACATCGACCCACTATTCACAAGCAAACCTCCGATCAAGATCGACAATTTTCGTATTTTGGTTGTGGGGGAATGGTCGCCTACATATACAATCCTGGATAAACCATTGTTTTCACTAGAATTTCTCTTATGAAGCTCCTTTAGGTTGACAACAGGAACGTACATTCACCCGCCAAAAAATGGGAAAAAAAGAGAGGAACGTTCATTCCTAGCCCTCAATTGATCAAGGGGAATTTCAGCCATACATATTTGAGGTACTCCATCCGCTTTTTAGTCTGCATGTAAAATTTGTTTGAAATTAAGCTTTGTTAAGTTTGACTAACTTTATATTATAAAATAGCAACATTTGCAATATGAAATCAATATTATCAAATGCATCGTGAAATGCATTTTAATAATATATTGTTTTAGTATTGTATATGTTCATATTTTTAATATAAATTTAGTCAAACATTGTGAAGTTTGACTTCAAACAAATTTTATATGCGGAGTACAAAGAAAGATAGGTAGTATGAAGAAAATGCATATTTGAAGTATAAACAAATATTTGAATTAAGTAAATTCTAAATATATATATATATATATATATATATATCATTTTTGTTTAACCCGTTGGGATTTTTAGAAGTCATAGTTAGAACCAATTCATCTATTTCATATCACAACGAGAAGTTCAAAAAAAAAAGCTCAATCACATGTTACCAAACAACTGTCGGACATGGTGTTCGCAATGGATGGTGTCGACATGGGGCGGAGTGTACTTGGCGACAGAGGCATCATGGTGGACGACGACGTAGTCCAGGTTGGGTAGGCACGTGAGTGGGGCTGCAGACATCCGACAATGCCCGTGCGCCGGCCGGAGAGGTATATTTAGGGCACCGGACAAGGAGGGTGAGATGCAGAGCAAGGGTGGGGCACAGACGAAGTGGAAGAAAAGTGACCCAGCATCCTTACGGGGTGGTGGTCCGGACTCCAGCAAAGCTCCCTCGGTCTGCTTTCGCTTCACGAGAATTCAAACATGGATACGTGACGACAAACAAAATAAGAACATCTACAGCCGGACTTGACAAATCCAATTCCTCAATCGTCCGCGGACGCGACCTAGCGTGTCTGCGGACAGTGACCGGTCATGCCTCAAATTAGCCACTCTGCATCCGAGTCTCTCATATTTCAACCCCTAGATCCATACAAAGCATGCACAAAAAATCCTACATACTACATACTACATAATACCCTAGCTAATCTTCGTCATCGGAGGTGTCCACGATGTTGGTGCCGGGCACCGGGTTGGCTAGGCACTACGAGGCCTGTCGGAGCAGCGACGTCGGTCCGAAGACGAGCTTCGGACCGCAGGGTTTCCGGGGCGATTCCGCGTGGGACCGCGTCATCACTCCGATGTGGCGGGCGCGTCCGGTGCCACTATATCCGCCTTATATTTAGACTGGATATGAGGGGTGCCGATCAGGCTGGGCATTTGAGACCTGTTTGAGGCCTCCGTCTGGGTCAGATTATCGTGACCGGTCAAGGGAGGCCGGCTTGGGACGGCCGGCTGTAGATAGAGGGTTTGCATTGGGCTGCGTGAAACCAGAGAACCACACATGGGATCCCATGGTCTCGACGGACAGGATACCTTTTGACCACAAGGCCGCAAGCCGACACGCACACGCACACGCACGGCGGTGCGCGGCGCCGATTTGGAGGCCAAGCGTGCGCCTCCTGCTATCCTCTATCTACTATCCCTAGCCGCAGCAGGCCTCCTGCTCATTTCTCTCCCTGCGCCGCTCTGCTAGCTCCACCACCTCTATCTATCTAGCCGCTATTTTGTTGGTTTGTGTACAATTTTTCTCTGGTGCAGTTGTGATGCCATCTGATGATCTGACCATCGTCTCGATCCGCTCCTCCCTCCCCTCCATGGTCAAGACCTCGCCTTGGAATGGGGACCCGGACGCCCTCCATTTTTACACCAAGAGATGGATAGATAATTTTGGCAGAGGAGGAATCTCCTCCTTGCTCCCGTCCCCTCCCTTCCCTGTATAAAAGGAGCTCCTCCCACACCTAAACTCCTCCAGTACATTCTCTCTCTCAAAAAAAAAAAAAAAACTTACGCCGGCGTAGGGAGGGAGGGGACGGGAGTAGCCAGCTTCTGGTCCAATAATTGAGAACCACCTCTATTTTTCCACAAAAATTACGACCAGTATAATATACTCGCACACACGAATCTGTTAACGCCGAGAATGTGCCGGTTTGGCAGCAACTTTCCGTGCTATGTAAAGGAGGATGAGCATCAAGCTCCCAAAGTACCATTTCTAAATTACTACTATCACAGATCAAAAGCGGATCATGCTAGTAGCTGCAAATCATAGTGTCTGCTTGCTTGCCAGTAAGAAAACACATGGGATATATAATCTTATTCCGAACGACGAATAGTAACTGTTGCAGGTACGGGCGGCCGTTCCGGACGCACATCCTTGGGTGCCCCACGGTGGTGTCCATGGACCCGGAGCTCAACCGACGGATGCTGCTGCAGGGCGACGCCGGCGGCCTCGTCCCGGGCTACCCGCAGTCCATGCTCGACATCCTCGGCCGCAACAACATCGCCGCCGTGCACGGCCCGCTCCACCGCGTCATGCTCGGCCTCGTCCGCCCCTCCGCGCTCCGGCAAAGCCTGCTCCCCAAGATCGACGCCTTCATGCGCGACCACCTCAGCGGCTGGGCCGGCAGCGTCGTCGACGTCCAGGCCAAGACCAAGGAGGTATAGCATACATCTAGAGACAGTTTTTTCGCAAAATAAAAGAAGTTGACACAGTTGGGTGGAATGTCGGAGTACGTTAATGCCAGCAACTGCCTCACTGCTCTGCTCTGAAAATATTTTACATCCGTTCATGCTACCGAGAAAATTTTGTTCAAATACATTTCGCTTGTTAACAGTTTTGCAAATACTAGCTTGGTGGACGCCAGATGTATCAGTCATAAAAATAGCCTTGTTTTAGTGGCAGCATCACTCTACATATTCCAACGTGGTTGTTGCAGAGTTTCATACTGCCGCAGAGTTTCATATTTCAGAACATCATCATTACCCGGTTGCCGCTTTTGTGGTGGTTGCAGAGTTTCTTAGAAGCATCTCTTCTCCTTGCAGCAGCAGATCACAGAATCTTAAGTCCTCATATCATATCTAACTGGCTTTCCCTTTCAGATGGCCTTGCTATCGGCACTCAGGCATCAAGACGGAGCTGTACACGCTTGTGCTCGGCACCATCTGCTTGCCCATCAACCTCCCGGGGACCAGCTACTACCACGGCTTTCAGGCAAGGAAGAAGCTCGTGTCCATTCTAGAGCAGATGATTGCGGAACGGCGATCCTCTGGTGATGCTCACGATGACATGCTGGATGCTCTCTTGAGAAGCGGTGATGACGGGACCAGGGAAAAGATTAGCGATGAGAAGATCATTGACTTGCTCATCGCCCTCATCTACTCCGGATACGAAACCATGTCGACCACTTCGATGATGGCTGTCAAGTACCTATCGGAACATCCGCGGGCCCTCGAAGAACTTAGGGTGTGTACACATACTCTGCAAATCAATTTTGGTTCCATGGCATAGATCACGTGCTTCTAGAGTTTACTGATGATCAGTTCACTTTTGAATGCAGAGAGAGCATCTTGATATCAGGAAGGGAAAATCGCCGGACGAAGCCATCAGCTACGATGATTTCAAGTCCATGGCCTTCACTCGAGCTGTAAGTAGGAGTTCAGACACAAAAGATAAAGTCAGAGTAGTAGTATAATATGAGTATGATCATGATGTACTCATGGACAATTCTATGCAGGTCATTTTTGAGACGCTAAGATTAGCCACAGTTGTGAATGGACTGCTGAGGAAAACTACCAAGGATGTAGAAATGAATGGTGAGTTATGGTTGGAAATTACTCTGCCACTAAAGCATTTTCTAGGAAAAATAATAGGTCAGTTCTAATATGGTGTACTATCATTTTTTTTCCAGGGTATGTCATTCCAAAAGGCTGGAGAATCTATGTTTACACAAGGGAGGTAAACTATGATCCGTTCATGTATCCTGACCCGATGACCTTCAATCCGTGGAGATGGCTGGTAAGTACAAGAGCGGAAAATATTAATTACCATCAAAAACCAGTACAACAGCATATCACCACAGTGGAGGAAGTTCTAACCATTTTTAGCCTACTAAAAATGTTCAGGAGAAGAACATGGAATCGCACCCGCACTTCATGTTGTTCGGAGGGGGCGGCCGGATGTGCCCCGGGAAGGAGGTGGGAACTGTCGAGATCACGACTTTCCTCCACTATTTCGTGACCCGATATAGGTATGTTCAACCTCTCATTAATCCACGTCGATCCGATTGCTAAGGGCAGCTCCAGCGTTATTTTTTTTACTAACAACAGATGCTTGCATTCTGTTTGATGTTGCAGATGGGAGGAAGAAGGCAAGAACACAATCTTGAAATTTCCCCGGGTCGAAGCGCCCAACGGGCTGCATATCCGAGTTCAAGATTACTGAAATCTTCCAACAAACATTTTGCAGAGTTTAGATAGATATATGACAAAGACAAAGACGATGAGAGCGCGACGGATGATTAGATGAGATCTTTGATGCCTGTAAAAACATAGGAACATAGCGATAGTATAGATGTTATAGGTTAACTAGGTAGCCAGGGTAAAAGGCAACAAGATGCTCCTGTTTTCTTTTGTTCTACCAATTCCGAAATGGACAAAGGCGTATGATGTAAATAGCTTCAACTCTCTGTTTCTTTTTGAACCATGAAGGAGAGCTGCATGTCAAATGATAGATAGATAAAAATACAATTGTCTGAACAATACGAGTGTGAAGAAGAAATATGCAGTAAAATGAAGGAACTAGAGTCTCGGATACAATTTTTGAAAGAGTTTGGTGCTGGCGAGAGTTGTTGCTCTGCTCCGTTGGCGTAGTCATGGTGACTAACAGAGAGCATGCTTTCTCTTACCATACCATCACTACAACGAGGCGTACCGTCATGGGGCGCGGTCTTCCTAAATACATGTGAAACAAGCGAATGCGGCCGTGAGGGAGCAGGGCGGTGCGGGGATGCTACTGTCGTGATCCCATGATGGTGGGAGGACCGTGCGTAGGCAAACATGCTACCCAATAAAATTTTATGGTACATGATCATACCTAGGAACATTATGAAGGTGCCGGTAAGATCAATCTCATCGACGAGCAAAGTAGCGGAAGTAGTTTATTCTGTCGGTGAAGCGCGACAATTCCCATGGGTAAGTTTATACCCCCTATCCACGAGAATTTCTTCGAGACGATCCGCCGGTCAAGAGTTGAAGTAAACGACCCCTTCGAAACATTCACGCGTTCCGAAGTAATAACTCGACAACGCTTCCACATCCAGGAACAAGAGTTCAGAGAAAAGTATAGAGAGAATCCTACCTAGCAGCATTCCCGTCTAATTAGGAGTCCTAACTATTAGACCAATTAGAACATAGGTAGTATGTGAGAGAGATCCTTTTTCGGGTTGATCTGCTCTTTGGGGTCTCTCCCAACAAACACACACACACACACACACGGGCAATCACACACGCACGCGCGCGCAGACACACACACACACTCCGGAATTCCTCTAGCCGAACGGGGGGAAAGTGATTGCCCCTCCCATGTCTAGTTTGGACTTCGCCTTCCGTCCTGCGCCCCTTTGGGCCTCTTTTGGCCCACATGGGGCTGCCCCCTTGGCCAATTCTAGAGGGTTTATGAACTCAAATATTATTCTGGAGTTCTTCGCAAGATTTTTCTAGAACTTTTTGGAACCTCCCACTCACCTTTTGCCTTACTCTCTCCTCTATTAATGCCCTATGTTCAGAAATGCATCTTTGTCTTCATCGTCTTCACTAGCGGTTAACTCGCTCCTTTAGTTTGTGATGAGAGCTACAACTTTGTGTTTACTCTAACTTGCTTGTTCTGCTTGGTATATCGGTTGTCCATCTAGTTGCATATCTAAACAACTTATTTTATTGTTGAACTTAAATATTTGTTAGTAGCCTCATCGCCCCCCTCTACTCGATCATATTGATCCTTTCAGCTAACAATATGCATGCACTTCTCTCCTTGATGGTCGCGCTAGGATCGTGCATCCTCTTTTGGCGATTGGAGGGAGTACATCATTGTGTGACTATGGGTCGTCAGATACAGAGGATTAAAGCATTGTTAGTGCTCTTTTTAGAAAATGCAAGCACCATGAATTGAACCTGGCGAGCTGGGGATATCACCGTCCTCCTCACCATCCAACCACAGATTGGTTCGCAGGTGTTGTTGGTGTTGAGATACAACGTTAGACAAATCTAGACCGCCAGATTTACGTGATTGAAAGGTTGATTGTTTGGATCCAACCAAAATCGTGCGTTTAATATTAAATTAACAATGGAGATGCAGATACCAATCTGCAGGCGATTCTCTCCTCAATTGCATCAAATGGATGCTAATTACCAATGCGCATGCGATTTACTCCTTAATGGCCGAATATTAGCAGTCTGCATGCGATTCTCAAATTAATGGCAGAATATTAGCAGTCTGCATGCGATTCTCAAATTAATGGCCGCTAAGAATATTAGCAGTCCCGGCGTACTAGAACCAGCGATTTTTTTGCTACATCCATTCAAGTCGGGGGTACGACCGCGACGAGGCCTTTTGCTGCAATCGTCATCAGTTTTTGTTATAATCGGCGAGAAAATTTGCTATATCCATTCATGGCAGAGATGTGACCCGAGACGGCGGCGAGGATGATTTTTGCTGGTCCCGTAATTGTTTTTTGCTACTACGGGCGAGGTTGTTTTGCTACATCCATTCATGTCGGAGATGCGACCAGGGACGGCGGTGACGAGGATTTTTGTTGCGCCTGTAATTGTATTTTGCTACTACCGACAAGGTTTTTTTTTGCTACATTCATTCATGGCGGTGATGCAACCCGGGACGGCGGCGACGGTGATTTTTGTTGCATCCATAATTTTTTTTGCTACTACCGGCGATGATTTTTGCTACATCCATTCATGACGGAGATGCGTCCAGGGATGGCGGTGACACGATTTTTGTTGTGCCCGTAATTGTTTTTTGCTACTATTGGAGATGTTTTTTTGCTACATCCATTAAATGGCGTTGGCTGGCTACTATCGTTCGTGCAATCCCGTGCAACGAGCGTCGACGGTGAGGGCGACGGCGGTGCATCGGGGGTGCTTCAACCAAGTTACTTTCTGAAAGTATTTGGTGATTATTGTTTGTAAACAAGCTAGGAATCTACTCCCAAGAAATTGTTACTGCTTCTTGATGGAATGCTACATGAGTGCTTTTTCAGTTGTAGAAATATGGGAAATATGCTGGAAACATACACCAATTTTGCTTTCATGGTTTTTGTTTTTTGCTTTATGCTACAATGCTACATACAATTTTTTTTGCTTTGATTTGTAGCTTTTGTTGTAAAGTTTTGCCGACATAGGTGATACACTCTAAAAACAAGTGCAGACTCCCTATGTAGATAGCAGTGAGAAGCGTAGCATCATTGGGGTGGGCTCCACGCACGTAACAACATGCAGCATGCACGGCATGGCGTGGGACAAGCGATGCGACGTGCGTACATGCATAAGCAAAGAAAGGAAAGGCCCGGACAGCTTTTTATCTCACCACTTCAATCAGACGGGATTAAAATAGTCAAATCATATGTGCGCGGCATATGTGCGCGGTGCGACCGGCCGAAATTTCGGCCGGTGCACTGGCGCCTATCAGTGGCCTACTAAAAAATGATATACTCCTCCTAAAGATGAATATAGAGATTACCAATCTGCATTCGATTCTCTCCTTAATCGCCGAATATTACATGGATGCTAATTACGAATCTGCATGCGATTCTCTCCTTAATCGCCGAATATAAGACGGCCTCCGCCCCGGCCTAACTCCTCCAGTACACACACAAGCAGAGATCACCTGCCTCTTGAACCAAGAGGCAGAGGAGTGGAGGCAGTAAGGAGGAGAAGAAGATGTCGCTCCTCCTGGTGTTGATCGGCGTTGTGGTTGTTGCGAGCAGCTTGCTGCTTTGGTGGAACGAGGTAAGGTACGGCAGGAGAGGGAATGGGTGCCTGCCGCCGGGGACAATGGGGTGGCCGCTGTTCGGCGAGACCACCAGGTTCCTCAAGCAGGGGCCCGAGCTTCATGAGGCCTTATTCGGTTAGGCAGGGTTTGAAGAGGTTTGAAAGGGATTGGAGGAGATTAAATCCCTTGCAAGTCAAAATCCTTGTCAAATCTCTTCAATCCCCTCCAATCCCTGTGGCAAGGGGATTAAACGAACAGGGCCTGAAGGAGAGGAGGCTCAGGTACGTCCATCAACTTGCCGCTTTCTCGGATGGTTGATATTGATGATGCATTTTCTTTCTCAGAGTAGTACGTAGCTACTAATGTCCGGACGGACATGTCTCTTCACCGGGATTTCAGGTATCCCGATGAAGAGACAAACTTTTCGAAAATTCGATTCTGAGCCCGTGCTCAGCTGCTCTCGAAATCCACACCGGAGGTCTGCGCCAAGATCTGTGCGTCTTCATGTATTTCCGGCCGTATTTGGAATTTATGGTTCTCCTGTCAGTGGTGCATTAATGTACACGGCACGTCGCAGATCCGTTCCGAGACAGACAGAGGCGCGACGGATCGGCAGCACATCCGAGCCAGCATGAGCCGTATTCAGCACAAACGGCGTCCGAGCGGCAACTCCATAAATGACCACCACCCCAACTAGCTCATTCACTCTAGGGAGCACACCAGCGAACTCCATTTACTCTCCCGAGACCACCTCTCTCGCTGTCATTTCCATTGTTGAATCTAGCTCGCTCCGCCATGTCCTCATCGTCTTCATTCTCCCTTCCTATCCCAGCCGACTGGCTGCTCCCTTTGATGGCATGCCCCCTCTGCGGCGATGAGGTCGTGACTGCCGTCGCGAGGACTGGTAACCAGGCTGGTCATCGCTTCTACAAGTGCATTCGCTATGACGTAAGTAGAATCATCTCATCTTTGATCTGGATCTGGATCTGTTTTCGGCACTGGCTAATGGTTCACATTTTCTCCTCTCCATTTGTCAGGCTCGCTAGAGTCGTTTCTTTGAGTTCCAGCACGCGTACTGCAGGAGGATGACCCATGAGCAGATCCTTGCTGCGCAGCATCAAGCGGGATGGCATCCAGCCGGTCATGGATTTGCAGTCCAGCACGACAACGGGGCTGCCCAGATCGTTCCCGCTGCCATACAGCCCCAAGCCCAGCAGCACATCCAGCCGCTTGTTCAGCCGCAGATCCAGGCTCCAGTGCAGCCGCCCCCGCCGCCGGCGAATCACCTCATTGCTGATGCATTCAGGCCCGTTGTAGCTGCCGCCGCCTCACCTGGAGCACAAGGCCTGGCTGCAGTAGCTGTCCTGATGGCCTCTATCAACATCATGCTCACCGTCCTTGTGCTGATGGTCGTGCTCGCAATGTACTTTGCTTAAGCAAAT